GTCAAGATGCAGCTGCAGAGGGCCAGGGCCTAGTCAGAGCCTAGAGCTGAGAGAAGGCTCACCTGGCCAACAGCAGGTAGCGGCTGAGGACACGCAGCAGGGCTCGGGTGCCCCCACGGTGGAAGTGCAGAGCAGGCAGCGAGCCTCCAGCCTGAGTCACCAGGACCAGGTAGGCCCAGCTGAGGCCTGGCTTGGACCGGCGTATGGACTTGAGCTCCCCCAGGCTCACCGAGAAGGCCCAGGAGCCCCGGGTGGAGCTTGGCTCTGCACCTAGGAGGACAGCACTGTGTTGGAAGCAGCGTGGAAGTACAGAGGCAGCCAGGTCAGCACAGTTGTCTCCTGAGGTCCCACCAAAAGTGGTTCCTATGTCCCAATCTTTTACAACTGAGCCACCTTATATTTCTTAGAGAATAAAACAATAAAATGGGAAAGAAGCCTGGTAGACATGTGCCTGTTCCAGAACCTTCTCAAGCTCCTTACAACCTTCAGGGTGAAGACTATATTCCTTAATCTGCTACTTGAGGTCCTTCAGGTCTGTCCCAAATCAGATTCCTTTCTGTCTCACCTCCAACCTCCTTTTCAATTCAGACCCCACACTCAACCACAACACCCCCTGCACTCCTTCTTCTGGCCTTGCTGGGAAAGAAAATTCCTGAGTGTCCCTCAGAGAGGTGGGACATGACCAACCCTGATAACCCAGTTATCAGCCCTGCTGTAGCTGATAACTGGCTGCATCTGTCACACCCACCAGCCTAGAAACCTTCACGGGTAGGACCCAAGGGGGTGCCCGAAGCCAATCCACTCCACTCTCCTAAGACAGGAAGGTGGTGCCAGGTGGCCATTCCAACTAAGCAACAAAATGTTTGCCACTAAGGGCAAGATGTGTTCCACCTGCCTCCCAGGGACACCAGTTTAGCCTACCTTCTGTGGGTTCTGAGTGATGTGGCCGTGGCCGCACTGTGCTGATGACAGCCCAGTCAGGTTCATAGCCTGGGTCAAAGGTAGGTTCCTCCTCAGAGGTGCAGGAGTCACCCCCACTGGAGTCCTTGGGGGAGGAAAGGAGGAGAATGAGGTGCTACGGATTCAGAGTTTCCAGATCTGAGCCTAGAGTCTCTGTTAGAAGGCAGTCCGTTTGAACAGGGAGTAAGGCACAACAGTGGCACAGCACTCGAGCAAGGTCACCCAGCATAGCCGGACTTGAACCCAGGTCTTCCAGTGTGTAGGGATGAATGCTACTGAGCAAGTAGCTTTGCAGTGAGACAGTGAGACAGCGAGACTGCAGTGCTTAAAGAAAGTTGCTAGCACTTAACAGGGAACTGCACTACAAAACCACCATTAGATGCCAATCACAAGCCTGGGGTATGGCTCAGTGGCAGAGCATTGGCCTAGCATGCATGAGGCCCTGGGTTCCATCTCAACACCACAAAAGAAAAAAAGAGAAAGAAAGAAAGAAGATACCACTTCATACCCACCAGAATTGCTGAATTAAACAGACGATAACAAGCGCTGGCAAGGATGCAAAGAAACAAACCTGCCTACACTGCTCGTGGGAATGTAAAATGGTGCCACTGCTCCGGAAAGCAGTCTGGCAGTTCCTCAAAAGATTAAAAAATAGAGTTACCATGATGAGCCAGCAATCCATTCCTAGGTATGGGCCCCAGAGAAAGGAAAATCTATGTCCACACAAAAACTCAGACATGGTCACAGCATATAATTCATAATGGCCAAAAGATGGAACTACCCAAACATCCATCAAACTGATAAAGAAGCAAATGCTGCATATCCAGGTGACATGAAGGCCAGATACTATTCAGCCTCATGAAGGAAAAGGGCCACACTACAACATGGATGGTCCTTGCAAGTATGAGTAAAAGGATTGCATGATTCCATTTACAGGAAACATCTCAAATAGGCAAAGTCAAAGAAAGAAAATAGATCTGTGGGAGGCCACCTGCCCATGAGCTAAGCATCCCCTCTCAACCTTGAGTAAAGGGGATGTTGATCTGGCATTGCACACCACGCGCTATGCAAAGCAAGTGGCCTTTACCTTCCACTGGGCAAAGAAGTTTGCTTCAGCTCTGGACTTGGGCATTACCCAATGGGATTGAACAACCCCCCATTTGAAACCTTATCCCCTGCCTTATTTGATGAAGAACATTATATTGAACCTCCTTTCTGTGTCCCCCCCCCCATAAAAATAAAAGAGATTCCAGGTGCATACTCTTTTCCAGTGCTCTCTCTAGTGTGGAAGCTGACTTTTAAGGTCACAGAGCAGTCCCGCTCTTGATATGAAAATTACTTCTGTGTCCTGTGCTTTTTCGCCATTTTCTTAGCTTAATGTTGTAGCCAGCTCATCTCGTCAGCACGGGTCATTGGGGAGATAGATCCACAATTACAAACGGCTATGCACAGACAACAGGGAGTGACCACCAAGAGGCATACTGTTTCTTTGGGGAATGACAAAATGTTTTCAACTTAGTGATGATGGTGAATACATTGGACTACGTGCTTTTTTTTTTTTTAATTTGTTCTAATTAGTTAGAACTACATGCTTTAAATTTTTTACTTTATGGGCTGGGGAACAGTGCTTGCCTAGCATGTGTGAGGCACTGGGGTTTGAGCCTCAGCACCATATAAAAATAAATAAATGAATTTCTTACTGTATATTAAAGTGTTATGGGGCTGGGGTTGTGGCTCGAGGTAGATCGCTTGCCTGGCATGTGTGAGGCACTGGGTTCGATCCTCAGGACCACGTAAAGCAAAAATAAAGACATTGTGTCCACCTATATGTAAAAAATAAGTATTTAAAAAAAAGTGTTATGGTGAATTATATCTCAACAGTGAAAAAAAATTGTTTACTCACAGATTGTTATGAAACTAACAAAATCCCCACTATGGGGGCTGGTACACAATAAGAGCCATAGATGGTGGTTGCTCTTAATGGTGCCAGCTCAGGGGCTGCTGCACAGATTCCGTGAAATGGTGCAGACAAGGGCTGTGCTGAGGGCTAAGTAGAGTGAAAGCCAGTAGTGCTGGTGATAACCCGTGAAAGACAGGAAAGGGACAAAGTATGTAAGAACTGAGGGGAGGGGAGAAGTGGATAAGAAGCCTCAGTGAGCTGTTCTCTACCATGATGGCAGACTACACCCAAGAAATGTCATACCCCTTCAAGCAACTGGAATGCACAGGCTCAGCTCTCCCATCCCACTCTGGCAAGGCTCCCCCAAGGAGCAAAGGGTACAGGAGCAGGTGTCCTCACAGCCATGAATCTTATGGTCCCCATCCTCTTCCCTTGAATGGGCATTTTCAGCCCATTCACAAAGAGGAACAGTGGAGCAGAAAGTTCCTAGATTTCAGCCAGGCTCACACATGCCCCCACAGGTGTCTAGGATGGTACCCAGGTCCCTCAATGCCTCTGCTACTCAGACCTAGAAAAGAGTAAGAAGCGGGATTCGATGGAACCCTACCTTCTTGGAAAAGAGGATTTGGGTGGAATCTCCAGCCTCCTCTACAGGAGCCCAGTGCAGAAGGACGTCATTGTCCTGGGGTAAATGAAGAGGAATTAGTGGGCTCTCCAAACCACCTCAAAGCTTTCAGTGCAGTTTCCCAAATAATGCAGTCACCACCCTCACTCAGCCTTCCACACCCTACCACCCCTGCCTTCTGAAGGCCCTGCTTTCTTCCAGCCTACCTTCTCCACGACACGGATGACGCCAGCGATGAGCGAGTCTGGGTCCTGATGCTTTTTGGCGCTGGTGTGCAGGTACACACCTCCCTTCTCAAACACCACCTGCCGTCCACAACCAGGGCGGGCTCGTGAAGGGGCGGCACGGAAGGGAGCCAATGGGAGCGGGCCTGGGCGGAGCTAGTCCCAGGGGCGGGGCCTGGGGCTTTGCGGAGGGGTTAGGGAGGGTGTGACCAAACCTGAATACCAGACCCGCGTTCCGGCGTGGGTGCGCATTCCAAAGAGGGCGGGGCTAAAAGGCAGGGTGTCCCTCCGGACAGCCAAGCGAAGGGTGACAGCGCGTTTACCAGGGAATGGTGTTTGCTAAGGCTTTGCCTGGTTCCCATAACCCATGCACAGCCAGTAGACTACCGAAAGGGGGAGGTTTGTATAGACAGAAGCGAAGGAATGGGTTCTGAGTACTTACCCTGTAGCCGGATCCCTCCATAGTTGCCACAGAGGCCCCACTGCCCCAGCTTCCTTCTTTTCCGGGTCAGTGTGGTGTCACATCCGGAAAGGACACGCCCCCTCAAGTCCAGATGGTGGTAGCGCCCTTACCATTCTAAAGCAGGAGTGGGTGAAACCACTTTTCAGAATGGGGTAGTTGAACTTGAACTGCAAGGGTTCGAGTCACAAGTCATAGACGTTGAAGGTGGAGCTGTCAGAGGGTGCGCAGGCGCAGCGTCTCCGCTCTCGCCACGGAGTAAACAAGTGGGAGGGTCCAAGAGCTCCGCCCCCCCAGCTCGAGTTCGCCCCAAAAAGTCCACTTATTTTTCCATGCTGTATACTGGCATCGAAGTCAAAGAGGTGCCATTTTGCTCAAGGGCACGGCCCTAGCAGGTCGGCCGAGGCCATGTTAATGCGGGGCAGTCTCATCTCTCCGCGGGGCACGAAAGCGAGGTGTTGGAAAAGAGGAACAGATAAAGGTGAGAGGAGATGTACACAAGACGTTCGGAGGGGCTCGGGATTACGGGATGCAGCCGTAAATGCCCCCAGAAACGAAGCTGTCCCAGACGAATTCCTGAGTCACCGTGGAAAGTGGGCTGAGCCGCCATCTTGAAGCTGGGCAAACCGAAGCAAGAAATGCTGCCATATTGGATATTTGCCAGTCTTGGTGCTGCTGGGGGGTAGGTTGGTGGGAGGGAGTGTCCATACACATTGGGAGAAAATGAAGCCAGACTGGATGCCATGTCGCTGACGGGCTCTGATTTCCTCCATTTTTTGTGTCTGCGGAAAAACCTGATTACGGGTGAGGGATGTCAGGTCACTTGCCTGAGTTTATTACAATCCTGTGTGAGGATCTGCCGTCAGCCATATTTCTTGGGGGCAAATCGAAGTGGCCTAGGCTTGCGCGGAAACCTTTCTTTCACCATCTCATTTATGGGCACTCTGCTGTTACTATTGCCCCCATTGGTCTAGATGAAGCATCTATTGTTGCCATTTTGGTCTCAGGAGACCCGAATAAGGGAGGAGGAGTGTGCGGAGTGGAGGAGGGGCAACTACACGGAAGTGACGCAGCGCCGCCATGCCTTTTGAGGGCGGCGACGGCGCCGGGCCGGCCATGCTGGCTACGGGCACGTGAGTGGAGGCGGCGTTGTGAACCGCGGTGTGGGGAGGATTTGGCGTTCCGGAGGCAGAGGGGGCGCTGGGAGGGCTATCGGTTCACGGAAGGGGTACGGCCTGCATCATTCAGCGGGCAGAGATCGTCCAGCGACCTTTGGCTGAATGCTGGAAGAGAGTCTCCCATGGGAACCGTCATGTCTGACCTCAGGAAAATCCTAGACAACCTTATTTTCCGGTGTCCCTACCCACAGGATCCTCACCTTGACTCGTGGGCCATGCCACGGGACCTAGGTGTCGCACGGGGGGGTTCGCGGCGCCCCTCACCCGTCCAAAGGCGGGACTTCCGGTCCTGGCCCCACCTGGGCGGGATTTCCTGTTTTTTTCTTGTAGAAGTGGGTCCTCCCTGGACCCCGGGCGTGGTGGGAATGGGTCTGAGCGGCGGAGCTGGTCCCCGACGTTCACCCTGCCCCGGCACCAGCGTGCATGCTCGCGTTCCTCACCCCTCCGGGCGAGGGTCGCTTCCAGCTTGACAGGTGGGGGGCTTCGCTAGCATCCCTCATGCTTTGGGGGCTTGCCCTTTTCTCACCGCTTCCTGGAGTCAGTTTCCTCACTCCCCCTCCCCTCCTCCTCACCTTTCTTCCCTCCACATCCCATATGAAGGGGCCAGTCGCCTTGCCGCCGCCCCCCGCCCTCCCGTAGGGGACATATCCCACCCCCAATCTTAAACTCCACGGGGGTGAGGCTCCTGAGAGGCGACTGGACCCGTTCCCAGAGGAGGGGGCGGGAGGCTCCTAGCTCTTTGCTGCCCTGTTAGGGAGCAGTCCAGAGAGCCCTCATGCCTTGGCAGAGAGGTTGTGTAAGTCCCTGGTCCTTTTTGCCCCTATCTCCTGTCTGAGGTGCAGGGACCTTCACAACCCGCTTTGCCTCCGTTTTCACACTGGTCAGCTCTGTGGCCACCCCAAGTTCTAGTGCAAAGAGGTAGTTGGATCCTAGTGTCCTCTTCTATTTTCTGCATGTACACATAGGGGGCCCAGGAAAGTGAGAGCCCAGGCCATGTCTGTCACTGTCAGGACCTGCCTGTGATTTTAGAGCAGTCTGTACCTGCTCTGAGCCTGAGTTTCCTTCATCAGATGGAAAGAACTTGAGAGTGTACAAGACACTGGACACCTCCCAGTGCTGCAGGACCTGGGGATCAGACAGACAGCGGTTTTAGCCCCTCTTCTGCCTTGTCCAGCTGTGTGCTTTCTGGCTAGTTTCTTAAGCTCACTGAGCCTCATTTTCCCCATCTGGATAAGAAGATCATGAATCTTCCCACCTGAGGCAGGCAGGATGGTCGGCAGGATTAAGAACTCTCTAGATCTTGTCCTAGTCCTGGCCTCAGCCCTCCTATTTCTGGCTGTGTGACCCTGGACAAGGTACTGAATTTCCCTGAGCCTGAGTTTGCAACTGTAAAGTGGGGTGATACTCTCTCTTCCCCTTAGGGTGGGGAGTGAGATGAAGTTGATTCCACCCTCAGGCCCTGCCTGGAATATGGAATGTGTTGCGTGGACCTCCCTCCCAGCAGAGTTGTGTACTCCCTGAACCCTGTTGTGGGTTATCAGCCCCCACCTTAGTGAGCTGAGAGGAGGTGAGGTGAGGACATCGAGTTCCTGTACCCATTTCTGTGGTCACAAATCAAAAAGGGCCTGAAAGTTGAATTCCGATTCCTTGCTTCCTTTCACCCTGCCTCTGGTGGACTTGAATCCCTCCAGTGACAGGGTACTTAATTATGTCTCCAAGGAAGCTCCTCAGCTCCCCAGCAGCTCTGGCTCACTGCTTTGGTTAACGGGGAAGAAGGAGGGAAGAGTGGACCAGGGTCACATAGCTAGCTGGCTGGAATCAGGGCAGGAAGCCAGTCCCCTGCCTCTGGCCTTCCCACCGATGTTGCCCAGAGCTGACTTGTCCTAGAGACAGATTCCTGCTTAGGGGAGCTTGCAGTCTGATAAGAGAGGCAGTCAGTGGTACAGCTGTCACTAGCTGAGGTGACTTGACTAGGATGGAGGGAGCCTAAGCATTGTGGGGGCTGAGGAGGATGTCGTCCACTTGGGAACCAAGGAAGACTTACAGACAAGGTGGCAAGACAGCATCTCATAGGAAGCGCAAAGCTTTCAGTGGGTGGATTTCTAGGCAGAGAACAGCTCACATGGCGTTTTTTTTTTTTTTTTTTTTTTTCCCCTTTATTCAATCCTTTCCTGAGGGGATTGTGCTGTAACAGGAGGTTGCTCAGATGCAGGAGCCCCAAGGAGGGGAATTGGCTTAATCAGGGGTGAGGGAAGTTTCATTCACACAGGATGAGTGACTGGTTGGCCTTGAATGGAGGTCCAGTCTTCCAGGTGTGGGGACCACCTTGTCCTGGGAATTCCGCAAGTGGTAGGGTCAGCTCTTGGTGGAGATGACCCTCTGGGCCTCATGTTATGTGACTGGAGGCTGGGGTGATGGTGCAGCTGGTTCAACAGAAATGCAGTGCCAGCCTGCCAGTTTCCTAGAAGCCACTGGAAAAAGAAAACAGATGAAATTTATTTCTGCCATCTGTTTTATTTGGCCAGTATGTGTAACTGCCATCCTTTCAACATGGGGTCCAGAGTGAGTGACGGCTACCGAGCAGTTTTGCCTTCTGCTTCTTCATACTGAATCTTCAAAACCCGGCATGGCTGTGACGCTCATAGCACCTCTCTGCTTGTAGCTGCCACATTCCAAGGACTGCTGACTCGCATGTGGGACAGGGCAGAGCCAAAAGGAGACCTGGGGCTGGGAAAGGACGGTGCAGATATTTGGGGCAGGAGGGAGGTGGGTGTGAGTGAGGGGTAGTGTGAGGGGCCCAGGGAAGTAGCAGGTTTGCAGAAAGCACCAAGCTTAGCCGGGCAAAGTGGATGTGAGGGACATGAGTGGCATCCAGGGGACAGGTGGACAAGGCTGGGTGGGAACAGTATGGGCACCTGAGCCTCATCCCCCTTTGTCCTGCTTTGGCCCACAGGGCGCTGATGGCGTCAGGGCGGCCGGAGGAGCTGTGGGAGGCTGTGGTGGGGGCCGCCGAGCGCTTCCGGGCCCGGACAGGCACAGAGCTGGTGCTGCTGACGGCTGCGCCACCACCACGCCCAGGGCCCTGTGCCTATGCAGCCCATGGCCGTGGGGCCCTGGCTGAGGCTGCCCGCCGCTGCCTCCATGACATTGCCCAAGCTCATAGGGCAGCTGCTGCCGCCCGGCCCCCCGGGCCCCCACCAGAACCACAGCCGCCCAGCCCTGCCCCAAGCCCACCCCAGCCTGCTCTGGCCAGGGAGGATGAGGAGGACGAGGAGGATGAACCAACGGAGACAGAGACCTCCGGGGATCGGCTGGGTGGCAGCGATAACGGAGGTAAGAAGGTGCCAGGCAGGGGCTGGGGATCTGGTCCTGGCTAGCTGCCTGCTGTGACTTTCCAGGGGGGCCGAGGCCCTTGGGACTGTGTCTCATGAAACGTCACCCAGCAGCCACCCCAGTCAGGGAGCAGCCAGCTTGCAGGGGTTCCTCCCAGAGGCTGCACTCAACACTGAGGTTCTGAGGAGTGAGAGAGTGTGCAGGGGAATCAATTAATAGGAATTACTCTCTGTTGTCACCAATGCCTGGCCTCGGCCTCCTCCGGTTGCTGGACAACACCTGCCGAGAAGGAAGGTACAGACAGGAGCCAGGTGTGCAGAGTTGAAATCCTGGTGATGTCACTTACTTGCTGTGGGACCTCCAGCCAGCGACACAATCTGTCAGAGCCTCTCCTTTTGTCAAGCAGGTGTCACAATTGTGCCATTTTCTCTAAGCCTATGTTCTGAGTCACATTGATTGTCCAAAACAGATCTTAGAGGCTCCTTGTTAGCCAGGGTATTTTTTGCATCTGAGGGTGTGACAGGTTGACAGATGAATTCTCCTCATGACCGGACAGATAACGAGCACCGTGTATTTGAGGCTGAGAGACTAATAATTGCAGGAGACCCCAGAAAGCAGTGACAGTGGCTGGAGTTGGGGCACTTGTAGCAGGATAGCAACCTGACTGGCCAGGGCCTCTTGACACCATCCTCAGGGCTCTTTGTGATGGACGAGGATGCCACCCTCCAGGACTTGCCCCCCTTCTGCGAGTCAGACCCTGAGAGCACAGATGGTGAGTGTCCCCCGCTGTCCCCACACCCAGGAACCAGGAATGCTAACAGGGACAGAGGCTGAAGTACCCCTTTCTCACAGATGGCAGCCTGAGCGAGGAGACCCCAGCTGGCCCCCCAGCCTACTCCATGCCCCCAGCCTCGGCGCTGCCCACACAGCAGTATGCCCGGTCTCTGCCCGTGTCGGTGCCTGTCTGGGCCTTCAAAGAGAAGAGGACAGAGGCCCGGTCATCAGATGAGGAGAACGGGCCGGTGAGGGGCAGGTGGGGCTGGGGAGGAGGGAGACTAGACAGGCTCAGAGCCACCTGCTGCAGGAAGCCCTCAGATCTGCTGCCCTTCTCACCTGTGAGCTCCCTGAAGCCCACTCAGCCGTGAGAGGCAGGTTTCCAGCCACAGTCCTGTAGCCATGCTGTTCGGAAGGCCTCCTCTGCTCTCCTGGGGTAGCTCCAGCTACCAAACACTGGGACTCCTTGAAGCCAGGAGGAAAGTGAGGCACTGAGGACGCATGGCCTCCCAGAGGTCTGAGACTGGAACCCAGCTTCCTTTAGAAGAGCAGTGGGCTGCAAGGGAGAAGGCCTGGCATTGTTCCCCTCAAGACTCAGTGTTTATTTACTTAGAGATGAGTGATCTGACGCTGGGCAGAAAAATGGACGTGGGGTCTGTCGCCCATTTTTCTGCCCCCAGGTTGTAGAAGGGCCCAGTGAGGCATCAGGTGCAGTGCTGCTGTCCATGTTGGCAGCTTATGGTCACACAGTTAACCGATTGAACCTTCAAGGCCTCCTAGTGCTGGACCCTGGGCTGTCCTCCTCATGGGCTCCTGACCAACTAGTGCCTGTGGCCTCTCCCAGCCTAATGGAGGGCTTTGATGGAGGAGCACTGGGTGGATATGAGGGTCCTTTCTGTGCAGACCACCTGATAGTTCACCTTCCTTGCTCCATCTCTGAAATGACTATCCAATTTCAGCCCTCCCCAGGCCCTGTTATACCCATCTTTCAGAAGGGGAGACTGAGGCCTAGGAAGGCAAAATCTCTTATGTACAGCTAGCTAGTCCGCAGCAGAGATCTGATTGGAATGTGACTGTATCTTTAGCCCAAATGGTGCCTGAGACCCCTCCCCGCGGTGGAACAGGCAGCTGTGGTGGCACACAGGTCAAGATGGGGAGGGGGAGAGGCCAACAAAGCTGCCAGAGGAAGTGTGAGTTGGGTAGAAGAATGGAGCAAGAGGGCATGGCTGGCGGTGGGCATCGCAGGGCACAATCGGGAGGGTCGGGACCAGCTGGGAGCGGGCCTGTTGCCCAGGGTGCAGGGGCTGAATGCTGGAGCTCTGGGTGTGTGCCGCGGGCCGAGGGTGCTGACCCGCCCCGCCCACGTCTCTGCAGCCCTCCTCGCCGGACCTCGACCGCATCGCGGCGAGCATGCGCGCGTTGGTTCTGCGGGAGGCTGAGGACACCCAGGTCTTCGGGGATTTGCCACGACCTCGGCTCAACACCAGCGACTTCCAAAAGCTGAAGCGGAAATACTGAGGCCCACGAAGCTTCTCGGGCCGCGTCCGCCCCGCCCACACTACACCCCCGCCGCGCCCCCGGGGCTGGCCAATCCCAGCCGGAGCCGGGACAGTCCCCACGAATCCGCGGTCCCAGGACTGACCCGCCCTGCACTTCCCGCCGCCCTTCCAGCCCTCGATCTCCCGCCCAGGAGCGCGATCTGGCCACTCTTCGCGTGGTGTCTGTCGCCCATTTTTCTGCCCAGCGTCAGATTCTTTGATTGCTTCCGCCCGCCGTCGGGGCCAGGCCGGTCCTAAGCCTCCCGGGGTCAGCTCTGCCTAAGCGAAGGTGGTTTCGCTCTCGCGGCCTTGACGGTCCCTGAAGGAGCACTGCCAAGCCCAGGAGTGGGTGGTGGCACCGACTCGAGCCTGGTGACTGGGCAGCTCTGTGATTGGCTTGAGTCTGCTCGCGGGCTCGGTCAGTCTCCCTAGGCCCGCCCACCCTTCCAGAACTGTCCCACCTCACTGGCTCGGCGGGGACAGCGGCCAAGCCTCCGGCGCCCAGAACTGCGGCTTCCAGTTTATGGCTTTACACTACCGGGTTGGGGTCGTTTTTTAACCCTAGTCCTGACAGTTGTGACCCTGGCCACCTCAGGGATGGCCCAATCCCGTGTCTGCCTGTGACACCCCACCTCATTGATTCCATCCCACAAACACCTGCCAATCCAAGCCCGTCCTTGCATCCAGGACGGAACCAGCTCCCGCTCCTCTTCCCCCACCCCCATAGGTGCCTTAAAGGGCCCTCGTCCACCAGAGGTGGAGGGCAGGGGGCTCACTCTCCGGCCCTGGTGTGGGGGAGAGAGTGGGGGGGGGGTCGGAAATTGGGAGGGGCGCTCTGAGATTAAAGAGTTTTACCTCTACAAGTGTGTGTTAGGTGTTCTACATTTTCCGAAGACGGAGAGCGGCAGTTAATTGATTCTCAGTGCAAAGCTGAATGTTGGAATTATCGGTTTTTTTTTTTTTTGAGAGTAAGAGAATTTTTTAATATTTATTTTTTTAGTTAGCGGCGGGCACAACATCTTTGTTTTTTTGTATGTGGTGCTGAGATCGAAACCGGGCCGCACGCATGCCAGGCGAGCGCGCTACCTCTTGAGCCACATCCCCAGCCCCTCGTCTCGGTTTTCATTTAAATTCACGGGATCGTGGAGACCACTTCAATCCTATGTGACTATGGAACTCCAACCTGAAGCGGAATGAGTGATGGAATCGTAATGGCCCTTAATTAATCGGTCTCTGGAGAGCATGCTAAGGTTCCCAAACAAAGCCAGGAATCTTCAGGCGGGCGTTTCCCACAAGAATGCTGGGGGCGATTAGACAGCAGGTGGAACCTGGTTCGAAGATAGGACTAGGTTCAGCAGGCTTGATGGAGCACACGTCGTAACCCCAGCGACTCAGGAGGTTAGCAAGCTCAAGGCCAACCTGAGCAATTCAGCCAGACTCTGCCTCAAAATAAAAAAGGGCTGGGGGAAGGGTGGCTCGGTGACAGACCACCTCTGGATTCAATCCCCAATACCAGAAGCAAAAAAAACAGGGAAAGGTAAAAAATGGAATCTTCATCCCCTATCGTCAGACTACCACCTGAGAAGTGTTAACAATGGAAAAAGACAAAACAGCCTTACTGTCGCTCACTTACATACATCAACTCTTCCTACTAACCCCACAACTGGGAACGATTGTCTCCACTTTATAGTTGCGGATTTAACTGCAGCATCGGGGGTAAAACAAAAGTAGGATAGATGACTAAGGGGCCTGAATTTCTTTTACTGACGATGGTCGTCAAGTCGGAAAGCTTCCTCCTGTTGCAATTTTCTCCAGCAAAGAAGATTAAAATAAGAGGATAACGTGTAAAGGGAAAAAAATCTATGGATGGAGGATCCACTCCGCCTAACGGCCTGAGGCGCGCGATGCCGCAAGAGGGAAGAAGGGCAGAGCGGCAGAAGGACCCTAAGCACTGGAGGGGGCGGGGCTAGGACAGTCATTTCCGTTCGCCGGAAGCCGCCCTCTGGGTAGCCGACAGAACCTCTCGCAGAGCCTTCCTGGTCGGAGCGGCGAGCACGCGTGAGAGTTGGGGGTGTACGCGCGACGCTCTCGGCCTTTGCCGGGAGAGGTGGGAACTTCACTCACCGGGGATTGGGGCCGGCGTTGTCGCCTGGGAAGCGACAGCGAGGGGGTGGGATTTCCGGAGCCGGTAACCGAGGCAGGGGAACCTTGGTGCCGGAAGGTGGAGGCGGGGCTTCCTGTAGTTCACGGGGTCGACCTGTCGCTCAGACCCCCGAACCTACTTTCCCCTAGGCCGGCAGCAGGATGGCTGAGGAGGAGGTCCAGGGCCGCCTGTGGCTGGAGAGCCCCGCTGGGGGAGCTCCTCCCATCTTCCTGCCTTCGAACCGGCAGGCTCTGGTCCTGGGCCGGGGTCCCCTCACCCGTGTTACGGACCGGAAGTGCTCCAGAAACCAAGGTGGGGACGGGCTTGAGCGGGAAGGGGTGTGGCCTGCTCTAGAGGCGGGAATGAGATCCTAAAGAATGATGCACCGAGGGACGCTCGGCTACTAGGCACAATTGCGTGGTGCGTCCAGCCCAGGGGTCGATTGGTGCCTTCTGGGGAGCGCAGAAGGAGAGGTTGTACCTGACCTTGGGGAAGAGGGTGTGGTGCCAACCCCGGGAGAATTGTCAGTGGGCACAGGACGCTGCTCTCGGGCCATTTGAAGGTTTAAAACTGGCCACCACCTTTGTGAAGAGAGGTGATCCTACAGAGAAAAGTAAAAGCCGGGTGGACGTGGACGGTAACAGGGCAAGCCCAGGGCCTGCGTCAAGCCTCACTTATTATTATTTATATGAAAGTGTCTGCCCTGTTCATAGGCAAGGACCATGCCACGCGCAGTCCTAGGGACTCTCGCAGTGGGATCCAATCCCATTGAGAAATAAACTGTCTCTTACTCTCTCCGGAATGGATGCTGTAGCTCCATTCTGTGGCCTGAAACTGGCCACCGCTCCCCAGTATGAGGGGGCCCTTCACACAAGGATGTGATCCTGACCCCACCCCCTTATCCCCTAGTGGAGCTGGTTGCAGACCCTGAGACCCGGACAGTGGCTGTGAAACAGGTACCAGTGCTTCAGCAAGGGGCAGCAGTGTCTGGGGGTAGGGTCTGGAGGGGAATTGCAAACTGGCAGGGGGTAGACCCATTAGAAAACTGGCCAGAAGAAGGGGGGGTGCTGGTGAAAAAGAGTTGTCGGCTTTATTTGGGTATCCATCTGTCCCCTTTCAACTGGGCAAGACTGGAAGCCTATAAGGGTCTGATTGGTAGGTGGACTAAATCACCCTGTGGTATTGGGGGGGGGGAGGTTCTCACAGTGGGTGGAGCTGGTCCCAGCCCCTCCCTCTTTCTCTGCAGCTGGGCGTTAACCCTTCAACTGCTGGAACCCAGCAGTTGAAACCAGGGTTGGAGGGCTCTCTGGGGGTGGGGGACACACTATATTTGGTCAATGGCCTCCACCCACTGACCCTGCGCTGGAAAGAGACCCATACATCAGGATCCCAGCCAGATACTCCGCCTGGCACCTCTCCAGTAGCTTCAGATGAAGAGCAGGAGAAGGATGCTAAGCAGCAGAAAAAGCGCTTAAGGAAGTCATCCCCTGGCTGGGAGAGCTTGGAGAAGCTGCTAGTGTTCACAGCACCTGGGGTGAAGCCTCGGGGCAAGGTGAGGCTGCTGGAGGTTCTGCCCTAGGCTGGGCATTCAGTCTGAACTTCAAATGTGATCCTAGGCAAGGCTGTCAGCCTCTTAGCCTTGGAGGAAGTGTGGGTTGGTCCCTGCTGCCCCTTGGTAGCCACCCAGGAATCAGCAGGATGACCAGGAACAGGTCAGCAGGGGCTCTTCAGACTGCACTTAGATGTGGTCAAGGCCATGCTGAGTCTACATCTCACCTCTGAAATGATGACTTCCCAAAAAGTATGTGGCCTTGGTCCCTGACAGGCAGTGGGCACCCCAAAAAAGCTTTGCTCTGGTTTTATTTCCCCTGTAGTTATTAATCTCCAAGGTGTAAAAGCCCAGGGGAGGAGATCGGGTAAGAAACTAATCCTCATTTTAATACTAGAAATGCAGAGGTGGGGTGGACACAGGAGTGACAGGACAGTAGGATTTCAGGTGATGTGTCTGTGCCTCATCCCTGTTGGGTCATATCTACAGAAAACCATCTCCCTGCATCAAAGTGTTATTGTGACTCATCCTGTGAGTGAAGAGACAGGTGTCTCAATGCTGCCCCTCCTCTGTTCTTGGTGACACCAGGTAGCTGCCTTTGATTTGGATGGGACCCTCATCACCACCCGCTCTGGGAAGGTGTTTCCCACTGGCCCCAGTGACTGGAGGTGAGGAGGGGCAAGGGAAGGGAGTGAGTGGAGCTGGTTGACCCCTCCAGGCCCCAGGTCACTTGTCCACTTCCGACCCATTCTAGGGTCTTGTACCTAGAGATTCCACGCAAGCTGAAGGAGTTGGAAGCAGAAGGCTACAAGGTCTGTGCCTATGTGAGCAAGCGCGACAGGGTCTCTGATGAGGAGGCCCTGGTGACATTGTCTGCTCCCTAGCTGGTGATCTTCACCAACCAGATGGGCATTGGACGAGGGAAACTGCCAGCAGAGGAGTTCAAGGCCAAGGTGGAGGCTGTGGTAGAGAAGCTGGGGGTTCCCTTTCAGGTATGACTAGAATGGAGGCTAGGGCCAGGGTAGGGTAACAAAGACCCTTGGGTGGGAGACAAACCCAGAGAGAGTCCCTGGGATGTATGGGACAGAGGCCTCTGCTGGGGTCAAGCCATGAGCAGTTGTCATGAGCTGTATATCCCAGAGCATGGGCAGCTCTCTGGGGCTTGGTACCCAGCTCTTTGGGGCTTGGAAGAGCTGAGGATGGTGTGTGACCCCTGCCCCACTTCAGGTGCTGGTGGCTACACATGCAGGCCTGTATCGGAAGCCGGTGACTGGCATGTGGGACCATCTGCAGGAGCAGGTGAGCTGTACCTCCTCTTCCCCTTGCTCTAGCCCCTGTTTCTTAGGGCTTGTTCTTTCTCTCCTCCCTTAGTCCTTGTCATGTGGTTTAGCTGTCAGGTCCTAGGTGCTGGTATATGAGGTCAGTACCATTAAGCTGAAGTCAGAGGTTGCATCAGGAGCAGAGACAGGAGGGTAAGTTTGAGTCAGCCTGGGCAACTTAGGGAGACCCTGTCTCAAACTATAAAATAAGCCGGGCACGGTGTCGCATGAATGAAATCCCAGCGGCTCAGGAGGCTGAGGCTGAGTTCAAAGGCAGCTGATCAAACTCACTGATCATGAGTTCAAAGCTGGCCTCAGCAAAGGTGAAGCACTAAGCAACTCAGTGAGACCCTGTCTCTAAATAAAATACAAAATAGGGCTGGGGATGTGGCTCAGCTGTAGAGCACCTGCCTAGCATGTCTGAGTCACTGGGTTCCATCCCTAGTACCACCAAAAAAAAAAAAATCAGTGGTTGAGATTGTTAATTCATTCAACCAATGGTTTGTTCTGAGCTGAAAATCCTGGTAAATAATAGTGGCATGCCTGCTGTAGCAGTACTCGTAGACCGCTGATGGCAGCCAGCTATAAATGCACACATGAGTATAAAATAGGAAGTAGGGTGTGATTTTCTTACGGTAGACAGGGGGACGTCTCTAAGAAGGTGACAAATTGAGTAAAAGTCTAAGGGAGGTGAGGGAAGAAGCCACATGGATATCTGCAGAAGTGGTCCTGGCCAGAGTGACAGCTGGTGTGAAGGCCCCGAGCCTTGCGTGTTCACCAGTGCGGATGCCCACCTGGTGGACCCAGGTGAGTGAGAGGGTGGGGCCTCGCCTTGGGGCCAAGGGAGCAGAGTAGGAACACGTGTGGGGTCTAAGTGGGGATGGGAGCCTGGAAGCCTATCCGCTCTGGCCTGAGTCTAGGCAGTGAAGTGTGAGAAGCGCTACAATGGTGAGGACTTGAGAGGTTTGAGATCTGGCCTGATGCAGGGAACAGACCAAGAGGAGCTGCCCCAGGGAGCCCTTTACTGCAGAGGGACAGTTGTTAGGAGTAGGTTCTATTTGTCTCTCCAGGCCAACGAGGGCGTGCCCATCTCTATGGGGGACAGCATCTTCGTGGGAGGTAAGGGCTTGGGGCTGCTGCGGGTGGGCCAAGACCCTTCTCTCCAAACCTGCTGGCAGTGAAGGGTATCCTCGTGCGTTCCAGATGCAGCAGGCCGCCCAGCCAACTGGGCCCCTGGCCGTAAGAAGAAAGACTTTTCCTGCGCTGACCGATTGGTGAGCAGGTGACCGATTGGGGATCGGTCACCAATGGTGAGCCCTGCACCCCGCCCTCGACCTCTGCCTCACCTCTGCCTTTGCCCCAGTTTGCGCTCAACCTTGGCCTGCCCTTCGCCACCCCGGAGGAGTTCTTCCTTAAGCAGCCCACAGCAGCCTTTGTCCTCCCAGCATTTGACCCGGTGAGGCCCGAGGGGTGGAAGGCAGGGAACAAGCAGGGGAATGAGGGTCTCAACTTCTTGTTCCACCCCTCCTAGAGGACTGTCTCCTGCTCAGGGCCTCTCTGCCTCCCAGAGTCCAGCTCCCTCCTGAGCTCTGACCCAGAGGTGGTTGTCGCCGTGGGATTCCCTGGGGGTGAGATATCCTGATCCCCATCTCTGGGTGCTGTAAGTGTCCTTCTGGGTCCTGGGTATCCACTGATAGTGATTTTGTGCCTCTCAGCTGGGAAGTCCACCTTCCTCAAGAAACATCTCGTGTCAGCTGGGTACGTCCACGTGAACAGGGTAAGAGGCTGCCGCGCCCCATCCCACTGGTTCATTCCCTGGCTGCCCCAACCGGGCCTTCAGGGCTGCCGCCCAGCACCCCTGCCTCCCCCTGCAGTTCTGATTTGTTGCCCTGCCCCCACCAGGACACCCCTTCATCTTCTATTCCCTATTGGGCAATTCCTGCTTGTGACCTCTCTCCTCTGTCCCCAGGATACAATAGGCTCCTGGCAGCGCTGTGTGAGCACCTGTGAGGCAGCTCTGAAGCAGAGGAAACGCGTGGTGATCGACAACACAAATCCAGACATCCCGACCAGGGCCAGGTACTTGGCCCCATGGGAGGTCTCTAGTAGGGCTGGCAAGGGCCTGGTGACAGCGCTTTCCTGGCCTCAACAGGTATGTCCAGTGTGCCAGGGATGCAGGTGTTCCCTGCCGTTGTTTCCTCTTCACTGCCACATTGGAGCAGGCTCGCCACAACAACCGGGTGAGCCCCTGCCCTCCCCCTCCCTCCTGCCCTGCCCCTCCCTCCCCGATGGCCTCACTCTGAACCATCCCCTAACAGTTCCGGGAGATGACTGGCTCCTCTCACACACCAGTGTCAGATGTCGTCATATTCGGCTACAGGTACCTCTAGTTAGTAGGCTGTGGGCTGGTAGGGCCTGGCCTCTCCTTACCAACTTCTCTGTCACCAGGAAACAGTTCGAAGCTCCTACGGTGGCGGAAGGCTTCTTTGCAATCCTGGAGATCCCATTCCAGCTGCAGCTAGAGCCGCAACTAGAGCGACTCTACCGGCAGTTCTCTGAGGGCTGAGTTGCCCAGCCCCATGCTCCCCTCCCTGACCTGGCAATAAATGCTATTTTTCTCCAAGCTTGGCCAGCATTTTGCTGGGAGGAAGGGTGGTCGTCTTGGAGGTGCATCACCAGGCCTAGGCCAACCCCACGCCCCCACACACACACACGCGCGTGCGCGCACACTTTTCTACATTTTCAGGTTAACAGAAAAGGAGGGACCTGGACTGGCTCAGGCTGCTCCTCTGCACATCTCATGTTCTACACCAAACCACTCCACCCACCTTGGGCTGTGGAAAGGTGTCACTAGGAGGTTGTCATGAGCAGGTCAAACAAGAGACTGAGATGAGACATGGGAATGTAGGACATTGAATGGGCCCCTATAAGCTAGCCAGAGCTTGGCTCAAGATGGCCCATGAGGGCACAGTGATTGCAAGCTTGCCTAATCATGTGTGAGGCCCTGCATTCAACTCCCAGTACTGCATGAGGACAAAATATCCAGGGCTCAGGTTCTATTGCATTGGACTTGAACGCAGGGGATGTGGGTCTTGGACCTGCCTATGGATCCCCCCTCCAGCTACAGGAGGCAAAAACGCCCCTGACCTATGCTTTCTTACAGGTAAGTCCAGGGGAAAGAAACCATGAGCACTACCTGCGAGGTCCTGGCACCAGGTACTGGAAACAGAGAACCAACACACGGCTTCATGCTTCTGACACAAAGGCCCCAGGAGCTGAGGCCACCAAACACCCTTACCCACTTATTACAGCTGGGGAAGATCCCATGTCAGGTAACTTGGGGGCTCCACACTGAGCCCCACTTTCCTTCCCACACTGGGTAACGAGGATCTCAAAGAGCAACTCCTGATCAGTAGACACAGCTTTGCCCTTGTAACCTGCTAAGTACACATACTCCCTAGCGAACACCATCAACAGCTCAAATGCTGAGCCAGCCCTGGGGACATAAAAACACTCAGGTGAGGACTGCTGCTAGGACAGGGGTCAGTCTCCTGCCTTGTTGTCTGACCCTGCCACGGCATCACACAGAGCAGGAGAACTGCCCAGCACTCGGGCAGTGAGCTGAGCTGACAAGTAGATTCTTAAAAGACTTTATTAGGGAAATGCAAAGGGATGGGGACTGTCCTTTGAGACCTCAGGACGCTGTCCTCCGTGTTGCTGGGCAGTTGTAGTCCCAGGGGCCCCAGCACAGAAGCATCTGACCTGGGGGGCAGGGGATATAGTGGAAAGAGCTGGACACAGCACCTCAGCAGCCCCAGGAACTGTGGGACGAGCAATCACCATGCCTAGGCCTTGAAGCTGCTGCCCCAGACTCAATTCCCTGCTAGTGGGGCTAGTATTCCCAGGTGGCCACAGAACACTGGGGACCACAATGTTTTTTTTCTCTCTGGTCTTCCCCAGGCCAGGGACACCCTGCTTCTTCCTAACACCCCAGGCAAGTCTGAGGAGATCCATCTGCACTGAATAGGATCAGCACTCACCAGTCTCCGCAGGGGCCTCATCTGTGACTCCTGGAGGGCCCGGTCTTGTTGAGGGGCACTACCCCCCCATCTGCAGAGGAAGTCAGGGGGAGAGTCAGCAGTAGGGAGGGTGGGGGTGGAAGGCAGGTATTGGGGATGGCCTCACCCCTCGCTGCTGCTGCTCCTGCTCCAGATTCCGCTGAAGGACCTGCTGCTGGTTGGCTATGACACGCCGGATACCGTTGACGAAGTTGCTCTGGTCGTGGGGGATGAGGCCAATGAAGATCTTCTTCTCCGAGGAGTACAGGAGCATGAGCACGCGGATCTCACATGAGGCTTTATAGGAAAAGTGCACGCAGCCAGCCTGGCAGGGTAGGGGACGTGTCAGAGGTGGTTGTTCCTCACACTCTTCCCGCATACTACCCTTAGCCCCAAGGTGGTGCCACTGAGTACACTGCCAGCCCAGTGCTGCCCGCTGCCCTGCCTTGCCGCCCCATCTGGAGGACAAGGAGACCAAGGCCAGGAGCAACAATTGGACCAGAACCCACAGGCTTCTGCGGAATGACCCAGCAGTTTGTGCAAAACAAGTGCTGCTGAAGCCCAAGAGGTTGCCGCACAGGAGGCCTCCAAAGAGCCCACCAGGACAGACAAGTGGCACTAAGCACAGTGCCTCCACCTCATGCAAACCCCACCTCCTGCTGGGGGACATGAAGCAAAGCTGCCGCAGATGGCGCCAAAGCCCCCACCGTGATCAGGCGTCCAGGACCACCTGTCTCAGGCAGGCCTAGGACACTGATATGGCTGTCCCTGATGGAGCTCATTGGGTACTACCTAGGAAGTCACCCCTCCCACCTTATAGAAATAAAACCAAGGTGGGGGTGGGGACTCATATAAGTTCCACCAAAACCAGAAAGAACTGAGCAGCCTCAGGCCTGGGCACTGCCTCAGGGGACTGTGGTGTAAGGGTCCCAGAGGAAATTGTGCCTGTGCCCACCAGAGCCATTGGAGGGGAGGGGCCTAGGAGAAAATGGGGCCTTGACAGATTTCCCAGATTTCAGGGCTATCCTTCATTACAGACTAATGGAGAGGTAAATAACAATGGTTCTTATAGACTGATGTCATCCAGGCACAGCAAGTACCCAGAAGGAGACATCCTTGGTTAAGAGTTCAGAAGCACAGAAGGCTACCTTTCCTCACCTCTGATGGGGAAATAGGTCCAGAGAAAGGAAAAGACTCAGCTAAAACCACAGACAAGACAATCCCAAGTGCATAGGACCTGGGCTGGAAGCAGACCGACCTCCTGTCTGGGAGGCACCCTCCAGCAAGGGACATAAGCTCAGAGCTCCAGTTTTCCCATTGGAAAACCCTGCGGGGGGCAAGGGTGAGGAAGACCACAGGTGGGACCTAGGATACTGACTAGGTGCTTTAGTGATGTGCAGTGACACCAGGTCCTGAGACAAAGTAAACTAGGACGTGGCATTAGAGGGGTAGGTCTGGAACCCATACCAGCTGCCTGTCTGTGCAGCAGAATCAGGAGAGCTGAGAGAATGAGGGTATCTGTCTGGAGCAGCACAGGTGCCTGTGCAGGACACATTTCCACTCTTGGGCACAGCCATTCTGGCTGGCTCTGTGGAAAGTTACACTGATCCACTCTTGTCTCCAAACCCAAGAGCTGCCGCCGCCACCACTTCCTACCCCAGCTGGACTCCCCCTGAGGCTCCAAGCAACATGTTGCTCGGTGGCCTCTGCCTGTGCAAGCCCCACTCACAAAGCCGTTGTCCATGATCCGGCACAGGCTCTTCAGCGTCTCCATGTCCTTGGTGAAGTGAAACTGCACCAGGCGGGAGTTCCGAAACAGTGGCACCAAAGTGGTCTGTGGGGAAACCAAGGGACTGACTCCATGGTCCCCTCCCTAGGGTCACCCACTTCCCACACCAGTCAATGGCAATCTGTTAATGCTGTACCAACCTGCCCTTCAGCTCAGAAAAATGTCACCTCTGCAAATGCTGGGAACCTGAAAGTCCTGCCCTCCTCCTACTCCTTACTCACCTCTGCCCTGCCTCTCATGGCAGCCTGCACCAAGTCTGGACCTCACTCAACTAAAGCCACAGCAGTCCACATCAACCCTGTCTCCACGCCCCTCCTCCACCTGCTGGACAGGTTGCACAGCCCAAGGCCTCTGCCACTGCTTCCTTCCATCTTTAGCTGGTCTCGCTGCTCCAGCTGACAACTTCAGAGCCACCTCCTCAGGGAAGCCCCCCACAGCCCTGAAGTCACATATGCACACAACTTGCCATCCAACTCACCAGGAGCTGCTGTGGGATGAGCTGCATGTACAGCTTCCTCGGCCACTGCTCAGTCCTCCTGTGGGCACAAGGATGGGGTCAGGAATACGTCTTGCTAGAAAGTAGCCTCTGCTCCCAAATCTAACACTCACAAGATCTCTCCTTGGTTCACGTAGACATGGGATGGCAACCACCTCTTGGATCGACTGTTGGGCTCAGGCCTAGGCTTTGGGGACAGAGGAAGAGAGGAGCCTCAGGGGTGGGACACTAGATGCCAGCAGCCGCTGAAGCCCAGAGACAGTGAGATACATTGGGTCCAGGTCCCCAGCCTGCCAGGACTCACCTCCTGCCACTCCATAACACCACTCCATGCCAGGAATTTGTTGTTGACAATTTGGACAGGGCCTGAGTGGACTCCACCAGGTCCCACCACCTGTGGGGGAAAAAGGCAGGGTGGGCCATGCACCAGGAGAGGCTCTGCTATAGAGGAGGCTCCCTGGACCACTGTCCTTGGGCTCCTGAGCCTTCTTCCTGCCCTGTCTATCCTCCCACCTCCGTCTCTGCCTTGATCACAGCCCCAGGGAAACCTCAGGTGGCTTTGCCCCTTGACTGCTGAATACCTCCTTATGACTCCCAAGGGTCCAGAGACGAGTCTCATCCCCTCACCTGGTGTATGAAGCCCACAGAACCTATAATTTGTTGTAAAACCTGGTACACTTCTCAGAAATGGTAGCACTATCAGTAATTGACAGGCATGAACCAGGACACATGTCACCCTCCAGAGCCTTTTAGCCTCACACCACCTTCCCTGAGATAAGTATGCCAGACCTAATGTTGCCTCCCTGTTCCCGAGGCTCTTCTGCTGCCAGCACCCACCATCCATTGTCCCTCCAACCCAAGCCTGACAAGCCATTTGTCCCATTGAACCTCGATGGAAATCAGCCACTGACTCCTTGGAGCTCCCCCTAACGCTCCTTGCTCCAGCTATCATACCATGCTCTGCCCATGTCCACCAGCTAGGGGCCAGGCTGCACTGGACTGGCACACCTGACCTGTTTGCGAGTAGTGATGACCTGCCGTATGGCATTGACGAAGCCGCTCTGGTCATAGGGGATGAGGCCCATGAAGATCTTCTTCTTGGACGAGTACAGGAGCATGAGCACGCGCACCTCGCAGGGGGAGATGTGGGGAAAAAGCATGCAGCCCGCCTGGGGGAGAGGCCAGCAGGTCAGGAACCCCGGACACTGCTGAGAAGCCACTCGCCCTCCACACTACCCGGAGACCGAGAGGAGCACAAGTCGTCAGAGTCCAGGCCGTGGTCTTCCTGCAGGGCTTGCAGTTACAGTGTGCCTTTCTTTCTAAGAACATGTGCTGTGTCTCAGCATCTCCCCTACCCTGCAGTGACTCAGGCTGGGGTGGCATCTTGGACCCACACTGTGGTGTGAAGATCCTGAGAGGCTCCATCTCTGCAGAAACTAGATTTGCTGCCTAAACCTGAATGGCTTCCAGGAAGGGCTTGAGCCCACCTGATGACAGCAACTGGCCTGTGGTTAAGAACACACACATCAGGCCAGGCTGCGGGTGCAAACCCAGACATGCTACCTCCTTGCTGTGTGCTAAGGCAAGCCACCTCTTGTTTTGCAACCTCAGTTTCCCCATTGTAACACAGTTAATGACAGTGCAGTACACATGAATGCTCATTATGTGAGCTTCTAGTGCCTTGTCGATGGCAATTAGGAGGACAAGGCTACCTGCGCAACTACTTCTATTTTGGGGGAGGTGGGGGCTTAGGGGCTTCCACCCAGGGCTTTGCACATGCTAAGTAAACACTACTTTTTTATTTGGGGATAGAGTCTCACTAAGTCACTGAGGCTGGCCTCACTTGCAACCTCCCTATCTCACTGGGGTTATAGGTTTGCCCCACCACAACCAGCAACCTAACCTCCTGATCCTGGGCTCAGTGAGTGACCACCTGCTAAGGGACCATCCCAGGTCACACTACAGGTTATACACTTCATTTCCCTGAAGACTGGGTCTTGGGGACCAACACATCCTCCCTCAGCAAGAACTAAGTGAAGGGGACCTGCTGGCTAGGAGACCTCACACCAGTCACAAGTCCTGATGTGTCTAGGTCCTGAGGGAAAGGGGAACAACCTAGACATAGGGGTCTTGCCACACATGGCATTTCTGGAGATGGTGGTACAGAATAGGAGGGAGCCAACTATTAAAAGGGGAACAGGGACTGGGGGATGAGCCCAGAACCAATCCTCTGGGTATCATGAATAGATGATGCTCACCTGCCCCCAGAGCCCACCTTCCACAGCTAGACAACTTGCAAGGGGCCAGAAGCCATTGCCAAAACCAAGACCAAAGAGGGGACATTCTGGCCCACAACTCCAATGGGCTTACTTCGTGACCTGCCTTATGTCCAAACCGCAAGTCCTTTGGCAGTCTCACCAGCTCACATTTACTGAGCACTCAAGTCACTGTACACAAACATTCTATCCTCCCAGAGACCCCATGAAATAAGGGCTCCTGGTAGTAGTTACCTCACACACTTTTTTTTTTTTTTTTTTTTGGCAGTGCTAAGGATTGCACTCAGGGCCTTGCGCATGCTAGGCAAGCATTATACCACTGAGCCACATCCCCAGCCCTGGCAGCCCCATTTTAGAGGAGACTAAGCCCCACACACACTGTGCCAGTTTGCTCCTTTTCCCCAAACACACCCATTTACCAGCATCTTCTGGGTCCCAACATGGCTAGCCTAGGTCCCTCCACTCACTCCCACCCCAATGCAAGCTCTCAGGGCCTGAGACAGACTCAAGTGGGGGAGTTACTGTTCTCTTGGTCCTACTAAGAATTCCTCAAGAGACTGAAAACAGCAGTCAGGCAAGGAAGGCACATGCCTGTACTCTCATCAACTCAGGAGGCTGAGGCAGGAGGATCCCAAGTGCAAGACCAGCCTCAGCAACTTAGTGAGACCCTTAGCAATTTAGTGAGAGCCTGTGTCAAAACTGGGGATGCATGGGGCCAGGGTTTTGGCTCAGTGGTAGAGAGCTTGCCTACCATGCATGAGGCACTGGGTTCAATCGTGGCACCACATAAAAATAAAAACAAATAATATAAAGGTACTGTCTCCATCTGCAACTAAAAAAACATTAAAAAAAAAAAAAAAAAAAAAGACTGGGGATGTACCTCAGTGGTAAAGCACTCCAGGATTCAATCCCCAATACCACAAAAAAAGAGAGACCAACACACATGCAAGGGAACAACTACCCCAGGCCCCTCCCTGCTTTGGGCTATGGGTAGAGATCTGCCCGACTCACCACATGCCACATCTGCCCACCCTGCTGCCCGACTCACAAAGCCGTTGCCCATGATGCGGCAAAGCCCCTTGAGGGAGTCGCAGTCTCTGTTGGTGAAGTGGAACTGTGCCAGCTGGGAGTTGCGAAACAGGGGGCCCAATGTGGTCTGGAGGCAACGAGGGTACAACTGGGTCACCACGAGGATATGGAGTATGGGGGTGGGGTAGGCTGGGTGGGCTGGGGGGAGTCTCACCAGCAGCTGCTGCGGGATCAGCTGCATGATCAACTTCTGTGGCCACTGGTCAGTCTCCCTGCAGGAAGGAGCAGGTCAGGGAGCGCCTTCTGGCCATGAGCCCACCCAGTCCCCTGTCCAGGCACTCACAGGTTCTCGCCCTGGTTCACGTAGGCCTGGCAGGGCAGGGCCCGTTTCAACTTTGCAGTAGAGTCAGAGTAGGGTCTGCGTTTCTGTGGGAGCAAGGAGAATGGGGGTCATAGGACACAGCCTAGAAGCCCAGGCTGGCCCCCACCCATGGGGACTGGTGGAAGCCTAGCCAGTCCACAAAAACTCCAGTGAACCTGACAAAGACTTGCTCACCTCCTGCCATTCCAGGACGCCGCTCCAGGCCAGCAGCTTATTGCTGAGACGGTGTTCACTTACAGCCAGACCCCCAAGGGAGAGGCCAGGTGAGGAAGGCCCGATGGGACCCAGAGCCCCGAAGACCCGAGCACCTTCCTGTGGCAGAGAGGGGTGAAGAAACTCAGACCAGGAGACCTTTAAGGACAGGCTGTGTACACACACTCCAGAAAAGACATCCCAATGTTCAAATTCCATGCTAGACACTCCCAGGGCCCCATCCAAGCCCCTTGCCCTAGTAGTCAACACCCCCCAAGGTTACCCCATGTCCTCCCCGCCCCCACAGCCCACTGGTCACATGACACTGGTCTGAATAGGTCTTGTTCCCCCTTCAGTCTCTGCTCCAGCTGTGTGCTTAGTCTGGAATGTCATCCCGTCCCTTTAGGGGATATGCCACCACTCATCCTCAGCAGCCTGAACAATTTGTCAGACCTAACTCAAAAGCCAGCTGTCTGGAAGATTCCTATACCCAGCAGGGCCTGCTGGCAGGCCCCACATATATAACCAGCCCTGTCCTGTACAGTGGCTGGTCTTGTCCCTCCAATACTCAGAATACTTCTAGGACTGCCCATCATCCTAAAATCCTAAAGAGAAAATCCAAACTCCCTTGCCAGCTTGTGCCAACCTTTCCAGGCACAGGGTGGCCTTTCTTGCTGACCCCAGGGAGGCAGTACCAAGAAATAAACGGAGGAAGAGGCTATTCAGGAAAAAGGGGAAGGCATTAGGAAGAGGGTATGACAAATCCTGGAGGAGTCACACCAGAATGCTTGCAAAACACCAGAAAGCACCATACTACCAAACCAAAGCACAAGTTCTTCTGACAGGGCCCTCTCTAACCTGTCTTTTTAAAATCAAACACATCAAAGCAAACAAGAGAAAGCTTTAGAAAGAGGTTGGAAGCAGGAAATGTGTGAAAATCTCAGTAGTAGGTACAAGCAAAATTATAAGAGTTGTTACCTTTCTTCTTACCTAGTCACTAATGGATATTTTCCACATTCCTTATAAAGCATATAGAGATCTTTTTATCCCAGAATAATGACAAGCAGGAAAATACTTATTTTATACAGGTCTTAAGAGGAATAAAAACATGAGCAAGCATACAGTCTACCTGGACAGGTGAGTCGGGGATTTGAGCAAACATACAAGATCAAGAAGAAAACCAGAGAGGGCCAGGGATATACATTGTGGGGGGGGGGGGAGGAAGAAAACTAGATAGAGAACGTTCCAGTGTAAGAAAGCGTTGATGTGTTCAAGGCCGGAGTGTGTCCGGGACAGAGAAGAGGTGATGAAAGCCCATGTTTACAGGTACCCACCTGGGAGGCTCAACACCTGAGCAAAGGTAGGAAAAACACAGTTGCAGGAGTCCTGGGAGATGGGGGTGTATTTATGATACATAAGACCCAGGAATTATGGAGTGCTTACCTGGGATACCTGAACTAGCCCAATGTATGATCCAAACAGTTAAGGTCTGCTTGTCTAGAAGAGAAGACTGAGCACTTAGAATCTGTTATGTTTGGATCTGGAGTCACACACAGTGGGTAAACACCAGGATGTTTGCCTGAACCCTACCTACACCTGCAACTTCAGGATGAGCATATGGAAGCAGAAGGACACAGTTAGGGTCTAGACTGAAAGCAACCCCAAAGGAAATCTCATATCTAGGCAAGTGTGTGCAAAATTGTGCTGATTTGCTGTTTACTGTACAGGGTAGCTCTGTGGGGATTTGGAGGGAAGTTTAAAGTCTTCCAATGCATGGTTGAGGATTTAGGAAGCATATTTGAACAACTAGATGGGAATGCTTCAGGCAGTAGGAAGGCAGTGGAGTATGTTTCAGACCCGCAGGAGAGTGTTTGAGGCTTGAGTAAAGCTGCTTCAGCTCTGGGCAACCTCTGGGCAGAGTGTTTCTAAGAGAGCCTGAGTACAAGTGTAGAAGCCTCACATCTGGGCAAGTGTGTGCATGGTTTGCGTGTGAAACGCCGTGATGTGCACTTTTGCGGCCCCTAAGCAAACATTTTTAAGGTTTTTGAAAAGTCTGTGCATGTTTGGGGTCTGATGAAGCATGTGCACCCTAACATACCTCCAAAGTTGAATGTTTACCTTTAAGTCCTGAATTTATTGCAATCCATAAAGGCATCCCATATCTGGGCGTGGGTGCAGATTCTAGGTGCGCATGCCACAGGCATCATTCGGGCACAGGGGAGAACGCCCCCGACTGCAACATCTGGGTGCGCGTGTGCAAAACGCTACCCCCACCCCTACTGACCGCCATCGCCCAGCCCCCTCACGCATTTTCAGATTTCCTGCCCGAAGAGGGACCAACTTTCCAATAGGAAAAACAACCGCGGGCGGCATCCGCCCGCCCCCCACCCCGGGTTTAAATTGGGCCGCGGAGTCAGCAGTAATTTGAGCCCGCCCCGCCCCCGTACCCCACCCCCACCGCAGCAGAAACGCGTAACAAAGGAGAGAGCCCGGCGTGTACCACAGGGGGTTCCACGGGGGCCACTGCCCCAGGCGGGACCACCCTTCGGGCCACTGGGGAGAGCCCAAAGAGGAGGAAACCTCGGACAAAGGCGTGATCTCGGGGGAGGGGCCGGCGGGGGCGGGGTCGTGGAAGGCTCTGGAAAAAGGGCGGGGGGCTCACCATGGGAGGGGCCGAGCGGGCCCTGATCCTCGGTGGCTGAGGGCCTCGAGGGCTGGCTGGCCAGGAGCGCGAGCGGACCGCACGCACCACGAGAGGCCGCGGGGGGCGACCGCGACCCCCGAGGGGGCCCCCAACGCCAGAGCGATGCGGGGCGCGGCGCGGACGGACCATGGCGAACGAGGGCCGAGCGGGCTGACGGCTGCCACGGGCCACACGGGGGGCTGCGGGATCCACCGACTGAGGGGCGCGGGCGCGCGGCTTCAGGGGA